TTCTGTAGTTGTGAGAAAGTGTTTCATACGTGTCCAGCCTGTGGGCTGATGTCCTGACCCAGCTCCAGTCCATCATTTGGGGAGAATTAAGTTACTTCAGGGTTTTGTGTGATGCTGGTTCTCCTCACCAGGTCAGATCCTTACCCTTTCTGTGGAGCTGCCCAGTCCTGGGGCTCAGGATGCTCCAGCACCTGCTGATGCCCTGTTCCTGGCTGGGGAAGCATCTCTGGCTCTGGGTGCCAGAACCTGCCCTATTGCCTGCCATGTGTTCCCTCCTCTTCCCCCAGCCCAGGGAGAGCTGCTGGCCCTTGTGAAACTTTGGTGTGGATTGCACTAGTTCAGATGCTCAGATTAACTATAATGCCATGTAACACAATTTAGCTGTCGGGTCTTCATTGCTTAGCCCTGCTAATTCACTTGTAATCATCCCACTGCTTGTGAGAATAGACACTGTACCAGAACTGTGCTTTAAACCTTTAGGGAGACCCCATATAACCTCTATTTTGCTATTATTAAATAAGATCACTGCATAATCCTGAATGTTGGAGTGGGTACATATGAGTTACAACTTCCTGTGAGGTCACTGATATTAGTGAAACACTGCGGAGTTATCAATGGTTTTAATAAAGTCTTATTATTTAAAATAGTCAAGAAAAAATATTTTTTAGTTATTTGTTTGTTGGAGGACTGCATCAAAGAAGAGGATGCATTTTTTTACGGATAATGCATCAAAAAAAAGGCTGATTTTTTTTACAGATAGTTCAAGAAAGAGCTGTGCTAAGTATAGTTAACCTAATCACCCACTTTGAGATCTTCAGCCAGAAGTAATTTCTCTTGTCAGTTTAAGACTATCAGGTTTCTTGTAATTTGCTTAGACTGATTAGACCAATCTATCTTTGAATGATGATTTTTGTAAAAAGGACAGTGCATTTTTCTGCTCTACATCTTTCAAATTTTAACAATGAAATCAGAGGAGGAAGGCCTATATTTCTTCTACTTTCCTGTGTGAGAAATGCTATTCTTTAGTCATTCTTCCCAAACTTATATTCTGATGTGTAAGAGAAAAGTGATGTGACAATAAGCTGACCTTACAACTTTATCTGAAGATGAAATTTATTTCTTATAATGTAACAGCAGAATATAGTGCCTGGAAGACAGTAAAAGTTATTCATTTTACCTCTTTGCTGCTTTTTGTTTTGATTTCTTGAAATAGTCTTATCTATTTTTTGAACCTTGAAATTGAGATGTTTAAAATTTATATTAGAATTCACGTTCATGAGAAATCTAGTTATATATGTTTATACCCTCAAGACTACTTTCTGACCTCCTTTAGCACTTGCAAGAATTTACAAGATACTTACAACGGTATGAAAGAGAGAGGACAGTAATGTTTCTTATTGTGCACAAGTTTGTGCTATTGTTCTTGTTCCCTGAGACACATCATCATAACATTTAAATAACATCACTATAAAGCTTAAATTTTACCTGTTCTCAGAACCTTCTAGTCTGCTTGTCCATAAGGTTCAGATCTTTAAAAGTGAAATATGAACGGTTTTTCAGCTGATATTAAGAAAAGTTTCATGTCCTCTTGCAGATAGACACCACATGTATCATGTGTTCATCAACATGCAGACACAGATGATTATTTTGTGAAGTTTACTTAGCATGATGCTCTTGGCATCTCCCATATTTATCCATTAAAAAAAAATTAATCCAGCCCATTGGCTTTTCCCCCCAAATAAAGTACTTCTTACTACAGTATTTTTTCAACAACACAGACTCTAGTTCAGTTCCTTTTAACCCTAGAGTTATATTTTCAGGGATGTATTTGTTTCAGTTTCAGTTTTTATTTATGTTTTGCAGAAATAAAATTAGGTTTTTATTGCTTAGAAATAGATAAAACTTATTCCTAGTTAAGGAATTAAGTCCTAATAGGCAGAGGGTTAGGTGACTTCCTGCAATACCTTAAATTCATCAAAGTCAGATTTCCTCTTGATTAATATATTGTTATACATGTTTCTTACAACCCTTATCCGAAATTCATTTTTAGCAGCTAGCGGAAATTGAAAAATAACTGTGATAATAGGTACTATTCATGTGTAAATTTACAAAACTGAATCTTTACGATTGATGGTATTGCCACAAATATAAATAAAGAATTGACAACTATAAAAAATTGTGGTTCCTCAAAAAAATTGCCAGAGCTTATGTATTTTATGACTCTGTCATCTTCAATTTATCCTAAAAATTGTACTAGACCAACTTCAAATAGGGTCAAAGTTTCACCACAAATAGGAGTTCTTCAGATAACTGAGTTTTATTTTTTATTGCAGCATACTGGACATGTTAGAATCACTAGAGAATTGCCTCACTATATCTTATAATTTGTTGTCACTTTAATGATGATTTATTATTTAAGTCTTAATATGATCTAAATAATATTTCCTAATTGAATTTTAAGTTTGAATTGATCCTCTTTTAGAGTATGTGTTAGCCATGCTTAAAGCATTAATCACGAAAGCATAATATTGTAATATTCAGACTATGCTTTTTTTTAAATTTCTTTTTAATTTTTTTAATGAAAGAAAAACTTTCTGTCCTTGAAACGACTGCTCTACAAACTGTAAATGCTTCTCTATGGCATAGTAGTGCTCAAATAGAAATTAAGTAATACATTCTAAGTTTTACAGGTTTAGGTATATTTTCCCTTCACTGGGTTTCATAAGGTTTACAGACATTTCATTTATTAGGTTTATAATTTTACTTTTTCTTTTGGTGGATATGCCAGAAGGATAATTCATTGTATCACTTATATAAGATATCAGAAATTGTAATCTTCAGGATGTGAAGAACAGTTCTGTAAGTCAGTCAGGGGATCAGGTTCCCTGTCAGCTCTCCTCTCTGCTGCCTTTTCCATCATGTTGTCTTTCCAAGAGAACCCTCCTTGATTCTCAGTTTTTTGCTTGGCATTGTTTCCATTTTGCTGAATACCTTTGGGAAAAATGTCTCGTCCATTGTTTTCTTGTAACCCAAAATTTAAAGGGAAATATTCAAGTTCTTCAGTCAGTGATAGTGCAAGCTATCTGTTCTCCATGGACCACATAAAAGAGCAACTTAGGGCATATTAGCTTAATCCACATAAGTATGTAGTGGGGTCCAAAGAAATCACCATCAGACATCTCCAAAACATGTAATAGGACTTACAGTGAGTGGGGTAATAGACTGCGCATGAGGAAACTGTGTGCCATTCTGAGCCATGTTAATGATTACAGGAAAAGAAGAGGAATAGTACTCCCTTGCTTTTTTGCACATCCTGTTGAAATTAGTTACATACATACCTATATTTCTACATACACAAAGGTAGATAGAAAAACAGACGTAGAGCTATTCCCAGATACAGAAATGTATGTAATATAAAATATCTGCAGGAAAATATCCTGCTTTTATTAGTGTGGAATACTCCCAAAATATTTCTCAGCATTAAACTAAGGATCTTGCCTATATAATGTAACAAGGTGTGTTATGTGACATATATGGCAAAATAAAATCTATTTAAGGGATATATAAATATCTGTATTATATGTAAAAATGCTATCAAATATAAACATTTATAATCTATCCTTCTTTAAACACATTTTAGTCTACTCAGCATAAAATGTACACTGTGAAAATAGATTAATGAAGCTCAAGGGTAAGCAAGATACATGATGAATTTTTTCATTTTACAATATTGAAATATCTGAAATACATTTCCAGGAATTTCTGAACATGTATTATAATTGTGTTTTATTCAAGTATTTCATAGAAAGGACCAGCTCCACATAAAAAATAGAGAGGTGAAAAAGTCTTGTAAGATATTGCAGATGAGATAAATGCACTGAAAGCAACAGGCATTTGTAAGAAGTTTTACAACTAGATAGGTCTAATCAATCTCCATAGTGCCATCAGTGATTGTAGAGTCTAAGGTACCTACATTTTTGATAAGCATTTTTTCAGCAAATTCTAACAGTAATAGTCACTCTGGTTAAACTGTTTCAAAGTTTTCTAAGAATACCATTTGGATTGTACAGATATTGAAGCATTACATATACAATTAAGGGAACAAATCTGACAGACAATGCAGTAGAAATCCATTCTTGCTAATAACTTTCAAGATAAATTAATTCAGTTTTTCTCTGCAAAATCAGCTATTTTGCCTGAAATAGCTTATGACACTATTTCAAATTTTAAAATAATTATTAATAGTTTACAATTATTAGTAGTATTACTAGTATTACAAATATTATTATTAAATTAGTAGAAGTATTACATTCCAAATGTAGAATAGATAAAGATAGAATAATGGCATATACTTCTTTGGATGGTCTCCTTAATACCAGTCATAACAATACAGAATAACACAGATGTATGTTCAAAATAAAATACATCATTTTTCATCTAAGCTTCCCAATTTAAACATTTTGCCCAGGCTTGAATACATGTACAAAATCTAAAAATGAAAACCAGAAGAATCCCATGTCTCTAAATGTTATGTTATTTATCTCATCCAGCAATATATTTGTTACATATCTATATGGGTGAGAATTAGTTGGAAAAATGAATCATATAAAACCAGTTTAAAAATAAAACCTATTTATTTCTCTGAGGTCATTCCATTCTTGTTTGAATCATATGTTTTACTATACAATCTGGAGAATAAAAGGCATTGATATAACTACACATAAACCTAAAACTATTGGTGTTTCAGCCTAACAATTGACACTGGGTGAGTTGCTTTCAAGTATTTTATTATGTGATGTGTGCATTTTGATAGAAACCAGGCACTGACAATAGACACTCTGGTCTATTGTCAAATTCATATCTGAATGAATGTGCATACAGAAACTATTTCATGCTTGTTAAATGCCTTTATTCCTTTCACACACTGAATATGTATAAGTTTAAAAATTAATATTTGACAGAATAGAAAGTTAAGATTCTGTTTTGTCTTTGTTGTATAGGAATTTACATTGTGGCTTTTTTTAATCAGACAGCCAACCCCTTCCTTAACAAGATAAGAGTACTACTGGACATTGTGACAGGTAATTCAAATTCACCTTATTGCTACCACTGATGACTGATAAAGACGTAGCAAACTTCTTAGCTTTAAACTCAACCAAGGTAACATTACCAATTTATTTATTAATAGAAATACACATTTACAGTTTCTTATTTAATTAAGCATCATGGTGAAGTAAATTAGTCTTCAGTAAAACACACACTTGTATATGAATTAAGTGATCTTGGTATAAACAATACATTATTTTATTAATATTTTAAATTAATAGTTTGCAACTGACATGGGTTTTTTTTTTCCTAAACACAGACTACTTATTATTTATGCATGTTTACAATTGTTCCCACCATACAAGGCTTTCCAATATTTATGTTTTAATGTATAATTTCATATTCCTTAGTTGTATTACGTTTCAGAGAGTATGTTAAATTTTAAATAATTGTTTAAGGTTCTTAATGTTTTTTCAGAAGTAATGGTAATGAATTAGATAAATTTTTTGAGATGTGCTCAGTAAACTTGTGTATGAAAGCTTCTCCCCCTGAAAGAATCTCTTTTTATAGTCCTGCTGTTATGTTCTCGACCTTTGCCATGACCACAACCCTGAGGCATTTGAGCTGTCAGATAAAAGAGTGGAAAGAGGCTGGTGAAAGTTGTAGAATGCAATAAGCTTTGTAGTGCATTGATGAATTTCCTGCCAAAACTTCACTGCCACTGCTGTCACATTTCCTTAAATAATAGGGGGATTTTTCCTCTAATGGACAGTGGAGGCTGTTTGCCTAATGAGAACTTGCAGAGGCAGCCTGCCACGTGTCTCTAACTGAGGTGAAACAATTTTGCTTGGCTACAGACAAGTGGCTAAGAAGCAGTCATATTCAAATGTACCTGTCAGTAATTAATCTGTTTGGGCTTCACCCCCCCCCCCCCCCCCATATTCATATATACTGTTCTGTGTGCAACAGGGCATTAAAATGCTATTGCTTTTCACTGGGAGTAGGTCATATTCAGGGGTCATCAAAACCATGTTCCTGGGTGGAACATGCTTGATTCAGACAGGCTGTTTCTATCAAGAACTTGGTATCTGAAATCTCCTACTCAGGAGATTTTACACCAGATTATCTTTTCTAATATTATTCTGGAAAACCTGATTTTTATTTAATACCATGTAGATAGATAAAATTCATTCAATGGATAGTTTAATTCTACCTGTGATGTAGCCACTGAGTAACCACTAATTGTTGTGTCAAGATTCCTAATGAATTTTTCAGTATCTGCTAGCAAAGCTTTTTCTTGCAATTACTATATATTAAAGATAGAATTAATTTCTTACTTTGTTACTAGGTCCTCTTTTTGGGGTCAGGGGGATGTGCTATAGAACAACAGAGATAAATCTAGTCCTTTTGGTGCAGACTTATTCAAGCCTAAGTCTGTTCTAAAAACTTCCTGAAGTCCTGATCCCTCAAAGTGAATAATCTTTTAATTCAAAAATAATGCAATTTTCCTAAAAGTCAATCAGCAAGTTTTCAATGGATAGAAGTTACAGTGATTCAAAATATTTTTTTTGAAAATTACTTTTTTTCTCCTAGTGCAACCTATGATATGAAATTAATGCAATAAAGGACAAGTAAAATATATTATAAGATCAAAATTTTGGGTTTTTTGTTGTTGTCGTTGTTGTTTGGTATTTTTAATTATGATTTTTTTATTGCAGTCTTTATAGCTGCAAGGTATGTCCAGAAATTAATTGATTATTTTCAGTTGAGAAGTGCATGTTCTATACAGGGATGAAGCACAAACCAAATGAAATTAATTTCTTTCCACTTTAAAAGAACAGTATATTGTAGACCAAATAAAAACCCTTACACTGCATGGATTAAGAATTATTCCTTCCCCATAACTTCCACTATTAAATTATAATTTTTTATATCAGTACTTATTAAGACATTAAGAACGATAGATTATTCAATCAATAATTTAGAATTCACAGTATTTAAATGAAAAATCTGTAAGTTAAACTAGGAACTTCAACCTTGTGTTTCTGTCTAATAAGTACTGGTGACAAATTTAAAAGCATTTATAGAGACATAATTATTTTTGAATTGTTAAATTCATAATTCTTTTTCAAGAACACAAAACTGAATTTTATGTCCAGTTAAACATTTGCAAGTCAAGCATGAACAGGAAATTGCATCACATGAAAAGCCAACATTTTTTTCTCCTTTTGAGCATGTATTAGTAAAGATGATAAATTTCCTGAATACTAAAAAATCTATACACAGTAATTCATAGTGTTTTTCCTTTTTAGATGAAAATATTTCTGGCTAACATTTTTACTTGCATTTTTAATCTGGGACATGTCACCTAAATATCACAGATATTATTTCAATGCTTCTCTCTTTCATTGAGGTTTGGTTGTTTTTAAATTTTCTTATCCCATCTGTGTTCACTTCCATGCAATGCATGAAAAGTAAAGTAAACTAGGCACAAGGCAAACTGAGTTAATCTGTTCTAACTACATTACTACTTAATCTAAAACATGTGCATGATTTTCTGACCACTTCAGAACATCAGCAGTAGGTTTGGAAATTACAATTTCAGTCTTAGTTGTAGAAATTAATGTTTCACTGACTAATTTCCATTTTCTTCTTGTGCTCCATAAGCTATCAGAAAGATAGTCTGTCTGGTAATTTCACAGCAATATTTCCATTTTCTAATTTCTTTAAGCCTGATTTTTTTTTTAAAGGAAAGACATGACAATATTAACCTCATGCTGAATGAAGTAAAATTCATACTCCATAATTCGATAGTTGAAAGCTGCTTTAATTTTTTTTTTTCATTTTTGTAACTTGTCTGTTTGCCTCTGTTGAGAAGAACATATGTATCCTGCTGTAAAGCTTCTTTAATATTCGTTAATATACCAGGCTGTCCTTTTAGAATACATAAAAAATTAGTTTTTCTTTTTAATGTGAAACTGAAATGGTCATCCAATTAAAACAGTTCCAAATACTTAAAAGGGGGAGAGTTGCCACTGCTCTATAGTAGTAGAATATGATTAGAAATTGTCACGTAAATATCTTGATATTTTGATGAAAGTCTGAAGTTCCTTGTCATGATAAGAGAGAGACAATATGACTATCCAAATGAGGTTTATCTACAGATTTTGGCTGAAAAATGTCCTCCACGCTGACTAGAAAAGAGGAGCTTGTAGTCAGGATCTGTGGTGAAATATTTTTTTCCATTCATACTTTAAAGATGCTGAGACTGCTTACAGGGATGCAGCGAATTTACTTACTAGGGAGTTGCAAAGCGAATGAAGAGCTTTGCAACTCCCTAGAAAAGTCATGTAGTCACAGCACAAGTATTTGTCATGTGACAGTTTCCTACACATTTTATAATTTTTGAAACTCACATGCTATTGTAAAAATGTATCAATATTATAAAGTCATTTTAGTAGATCTTACAAGAATTGGTGGCTTTCTGAGAATCCAGTGACATCTTTATTCATTGATTTGAATAATAGATGTGCTTTACAAACATTCATCATGCCTCTAAAAGTTTATGCATATCTTAGCTACCTGGAAATCTACAAGAATCTGAAGAAAGACTTTTTCTGGGAGTTAGAACTTTGCTAAATTTAAGGCAGTAAAATCATTTGCCTTCAAATCTTTCATTACTCTTTCAATCTTCTTCCTTTCCCATTTTCCTGCCTTTTTCTGTAATATTCCTGAATGAGTTGTCTTTCAAACAAAAAGACAAAAAGAAACCAATAAACACAACCCCAAAACCCCCCAAAAAACTAACCAAACCAAAAAGAAAACAAAAAAACCCAAAAAACAAAACCCTAAACAACCAAAAAAAAAAAAAGCCTACCAAAATAACATGCCATGCTTACAAGTATTCATGGACATGAAAATCCTTCTTGCTACCCTCAGTGCACTGCTGCCTTAATTCAACTGCTTGAAAAACTTGTTGTGTTGTCTCATTTATTGCATTCTATTTACATCAGTGGCTGAATTAACTGAAGCACTTATGTTGTAATGATATTTGTCTTTAATTTTATTAGCTTTTTTCAGCTTTTGTTTTTCTAGAACTGGCTATTGTTTCTAACTGTAAGAAAAATGTTATTTGTGAAATGGTAGCTACATCATCCTATATTAATTATGCATAATATAAGTGCCTTAGACTGAGAGATTTGGAGGGTCTTAGACTAAATTAGATTTATTTCTTAGCATTCCAAAAGACTATCCATTCAAGTGTAAGAATATTGTCCTAGTATTACACAGGTCATTATAAATATTAGAAAGTTGGAGGTATTTTTCCAGATCCATTTTTTCCTCTAAGTATACCCTGACAATATTATACTGGCTAATTCGTTTGTGCAGCATTATTCCAGCATGAAATAAGAGAAATAAAACTTCTGTGAAATGTGACTTTTGTGTCATCTTATTAGCTGAAAATAAGATTGCAGACTATTAAATGCCTTTTCTTTAATGAGTATCACTGCTGTATCCTATAAGGTTTAATTACAAATTTATTAGTTCAGCTTTATACAAGGCCTTGGAGATGAGGATTTTGTCATAGAAATAAAGGCAGCTTAAAAAAATTTTCTCCCTTCTGTTTGATCTAAAAATCAGGATTTGTATAGACAAATATACACTGTGCAAACTATATAGCATTTTAAGAATTCTCTGAAGAATTCTGCATGCCCAGTATTTGTATATTAAATTTTCAGGTGTGCAATAAATAAAGAATCCAATAAGTAAAATCTTGATTTTTCACAGGCCATTGAAGAACATATTTATTCCATATACCTCTCTAAATAAGGATTACTGTATTCAGCTTCTTAGACCATATTGTTTTTTTGTTTTTTTTTTTTTTTTTTTTTTTTTTTTGTGGTGCATGAACTTTCTGCAAATTGGCAGTAAACTGGACAGTCTGGGAATAAGGTGAAAACTGCAGAAAATGTTTGTGCTTGAACCCATTAATTATTAACTCTTGCAGACATTCTTAATGCAAGCAGCACAGTGC